AACACTTGGAGGTAGATGCTTTCATCCTGACTCTACAGATGAAGAAACTGAGACTCAGAGAAGTTAAGAAAGTGGCCTACAGTTATTCAGTAGAAAAGGTGGTTCCAAAATAAATAAATAAATGAATAAAATAAAATAAAATAAAATGTGGTTCCTTGACTGGACACCAGGAAGCCTGATTGCCAAGTGCACACTCTTAGCCCCCACCTGACCTCCCAGTCAGCATGTCCATTCCAAGTTTCTTCTCAGAATTATGTTCCTGTCCTTAACAGAGCTCAGTGTCAGCCCTAATGTGCTTGGTGTCAGATGTGTTAATACAAGATGTGATCCACGGGCCGGGGATGTAGCTCAGTGGCACAGCGCCTGCCCGGCAAGCTCGAGGCCCTGGGTTCGATTCCCGGTACCAAAAAAAGAAAAGTGAAAAAAAAAAAAGACCAAAGAAAAGCCCCTTAAAAAAACAAAAAAAGATGTGATCCAAAATTACAGTGAATGTTTAATTAAAAAATTATAACAGTAAAGGACATATTGCTATTAATTCCCCTCAAAATGATTCCTCTTGTTTAGAACACGGTTATCCCATCACTCTTGCCACTTTCTGAAGCAGATCTGGATGTCCTCTTTCATGAGTGTCTTTAATGGCAATATCATGGCTACCTCAATGTCCTGAATTGGTTCAAAATGGTTCCCTTTCATTGTTATTTTGACTTTTGGAAAGAATCAGAAGTCACACGATGGTAGATCTGGTGAATAAGGTGGATGAAGACCACTGTTATGTTTTTATTTGAGAGAAATTTCCATAACATCTTGAATCAATACAGGATATTTTTTTTGTACCGGGGATCGAACTTGGGTCCTTGCGCTTGCGCAGCAGGCAGTGAAACCACTGAGCTAAACCCCTGGCCCTCAATACAGGATATTGAGGGAGCCACAGCAACACTAATGAAGACATGAGAAGAGGATTTTAGAGTTGTTTCAGAAAGTGACAAGAATGATGGGATGAATGTGTTTGATGCAAGAGGAGTATTTAGAAGGGGACTCATGTCTTTTACTGTAATAATTTTTAAAATTTTTAATTTAAACATTCACTGTAGTTTAGATCATGCTGTGTAAGTAAGTCACATGACGCTGGACCCAATCTAGAAATTCCTCTTCATTTTTCCACACAGGTCTCAGCAAAGTGTTTACAATGTTGTGTTTTTCCCTTCTTCTGCCTTCTTCTGAAGGGAGATACCACACCTGCTGGTGAGTAGAAGTGCTGGTGACCCGAGTAACAACACGGCATTTAGAACAAATAAAGCTGCCTGATGCACTAGTTTAAGATCAGTTCAGAGAGCCAGGAAGCAGAGATTCTGCCCCAACTGCTTCCTGGTACGTGGTGTCTGGGCACATTGCTTGCAGGCAAGCAGAAATTCAAAACTGTGACTGGAGAACCCTTGCATTGCGCTCTGAGCCACCCAACAGTGACACACAGTGGCCCGACCCACTGGCCAGAGCAATTTTTGTTTTGGTATTATCTATTCTACCGTATAATTTCCTCCAGGGATAATTTATCCTTTTTTTATTCACTCAACACATTTTTTATTAAGCATCTACTGTAATCTAGGCATTAAAATAGTTGCTGTTGACATAATAATAAGCAAATTATCCAGTCCTTGCCCTCCAAAGAAATACTTTTGTAGCTGAGGATGGTGGTGCATGCCTGTAATTTCAGTTACTTGGAGGCCAAGGCAGGAGAATCATGAATTTTGAGGCCAGCCTGGGCAACAAAGCAAGACTCTGTTACATTCCTGGTCTTTTTTTTTGTTTCTCCATTGCAAAATTCCTCATGACCAACAAATCACTGTAAGCAAACATTCTGTTCTATGTGTCTATTGCAAGAGTAGCAAAAAAAAAAAAAAAGAGTAGCTATGAAGTCCTGTATCCCATTTCCCAAGTATTGCCTCAGTCATTCCCTTGGGGACAAGAGATCATGGTGTAAAAGGTGGTTGATCCTGTCAAATGATCTTGCAGCAGGTAAACAATTGATACCACAGGTTCAGTTTCAGGCTGACAGGAGGGTTTAGGAATGTCCTAAGAGGAATTCTTTGCTACTTGCATCAAAGGTGATACAATCCTTTCTATCATATTTGAATTACATCTTTAGTTTTAAGCTTAACAGTGTTTCCTCCTATAGCAGCTTATAAAATACAGGCATCAGTGTGTGTTTGGACATTTTGAAGAACAGAGGAGAAAACCAAAATGGTAGAAGCGCATGATTTTCAGGAACTGACCAACTGCTAATAAATTCAACATGAAAAGATAATTTTTAAAAAAGCAATGAATAGAGCAGCATAAGGTTCCTTGGAAAAGAAAGCAAAGAGCAGTTTCCGTGACTTCATCCCAGTGTTTCTGAGCACCCGGACACGCAGCCAGTCAGATCTAAAGGGCCGTAAGCAGAAGAATTCCTCCCAAAGTTCGGAGCACCGCCTCAGGAACAGGAACCTTCTCTTGCCCAGCAAAGCCCAGGGGATTTCGGAGTCACCAAATGGTTTCCTTCCAAACAAACTGGAAGGGCCAGCCTGCCTTGAAAATCCTGAAAAGCCATCAGGAAAACGAAAGTGCAAGACCAAGCACATGGCAAACATCTCAGAAGAGGCAAAGGGCGAAGGCCGCTGGAGCCAGCAGAAGACACGGTCCTCCAAATCCCCCACCCCTGCAAAGCTCACAGAACCATGTACACCTTCTAAGTCCCAAAGTGACGGCCCAGAGGAGGCCTCGGAGTCACCTACAGCCCGGCAAATCCCCCCGGAAGCACGGTGGCTCATAGTGAACAAAAATGCCGGTGAGACCCTCTTGCAGTGGGCGGCACGCCTGGGCTATAAGGACGTTGTTCTGTACTGCCTCCAGAAGGATAGTTAGGATGTGAATCACCGCGATAATGCTGGCTGCACAGCCCTGCATGAGGCCTGTTCTCGGGGATGGACCGATATCCTGAACATCCTCCTGCAGCATGGGGCCAACGTGAACTGCAGTGCACAGGATGGCATGAGGCCAGTTCATGATGCAGTGGTCAGTGACAACCTGGAGACCATCTGGCTCTTGCTGTCGTATGGGGCTGATCCCACATTGGCCACCTACTTGGGTCAGACGGCCATGAAGCTGGCCAGCAGTGACGCCGTGAAGTGCTTTCTCAGTGATCACCTCTCGGATCTTCAGGGCCGGGCAGAAGGGGATCCAGGTGTATCCTGGGACTTCTACAGCAGTTCTGTGTTGGAGCAAAAAGATGGATTTACCTGTGACCTCCCACACAATCCTCCTGGGAGCGCTGATCAAGAAGGAGATGATGTGGAAGAGGGTGATTTCATGTCTGAACTCTCAGACAAGCCTCTTCTCCCTTGCTACAACCTCCAAGTGTCAGTGTCCCGAGGGCCCTGCAACTGGTTCCTCTTCACTGATGTCCTCAAACGGCTGAAGCTCTCCTCAAGGATATTTCAGGCCTGTTTCCCGCAATTTGAAATCACCACCCTGCCCAAGGCAGAGTTCTACCGGCAGGTGGCCTCCAGTCAGCTGCTGACCCCTGCTGAGAGACCTGATGGCATGGAGGACAGATCTCCCCCTGGCTCCTCTGAGACTGTGGAGCTGGTTGCTTCCGAGCCCGAGCTCCTTCGGCTCCCAGGGTCTGAGGTGGAATTCCAGTCTTGGAACAGTTGACCAGGAAAACGGCACCCCCTCTTCTTTCTCCTCCCAAGTTCACCCTTCCCCCACCTCCCCTGTCCCCCCACCGAGCACCAGGCTGCAGAATGAGGCAATAATATGGACCAACAAGAAGCTGCCTTATCAATGCCAGCATTAGTGACTGGATTTTTTTTTGTTTTTTGGTTACAGTTAGTTCTCATCTCCCTGTCATCACTGTCATTGTGGTTGGTGATGGGAGTGGAAAGTTGAACTCCATGTCTGACGACAAGAGGTCCCGGGGGTGGTAGGAGGTGGCGCCAGGGTCCCTTGGACTGGAACCTTTGCATGTGACCTAACATGGGCCTGGGTGGCTGTGGCCTGTTCCAAGGAGAAACAAGAAAAGCCTAAACCTGAGCGACCCCTTGTCCCCCTGTGTTCTTTTGTCTGCCATAGTATTTATTAGTATTTAATTGGTATTGTTTCATTGGTTTCTGATAAGTCTGTATCCCTGTGCCGATGTGAGACAACGTGTTGTATTGAGGGACTTTCTTTACCTCTTTTCTGTTTCTTTCTCGTTAAGCTTTGGGGCTGTTCCCTCCCTCTGACAAAGTTATCCCCAGGTTGCCCCCCACCCCCACCCTGGGAGGGGCCCAGGTGGGCAGGGTGGAGAACATGTGACTAATGAAGCTGGCTCAGAGCTGGGGGCCTAGGGGTAAATCCTGAGGCTTTGGTGCTCCCCTTCCCTTGCCAGTTTTTCTCTTCCCTGTCCTTCGAAGAGGACCTGCCATCTTGAGATTAGGTTTACTGGGGAGAGGAGAATTGGGTAAGGGGCTTGTGAGTTACTCCAGTAAAGCAGAGCTGAGAATGGGCCCGAGGGTTCCCTGCTCCCTTCAAGGTGCACAATACAGGGTTCTTCTTCCATCTTTCCCCACATCCCTACCCATTCCACCCTGTCCTGGCCTCCCCCTCTCCAGATACTGAGCCTCTTGCCTCTGAGCCCTTGACTCCCATCTTCACCCCGCCCCCACTGTTCTCTTTTGGAATCTGTGGAGGGCTCTGGGGCTGACAGTCTGGTGTGACATCAGGCGGCGGCGCCAGTGCTTTCCTAGGCGAAGGCAGGAGACCAGTCTCCAGCCCAGGCTCCACTCAGGCTGAGTGGGTGGCCACCCACCAGCAGCCTCCAGGCCAGGAGAGGAGGAGAAGGAGGAGCTCGGGGTGCTTCCCTGTCCCCACCCTGTGGCGTGTTTTTCCCACTCTCTTATTTTTCTACCAATTGCTATTTTTCCGAACAATCCTTGTAGAGGGTCTGTACCATCCAAAGGCAGGAGGGCCTCACTGTGGCTGGCTCTGGTTGGAAATGGTACAGTTTTATTGGACAGGTGCTAAACGTCAACAACAAAAGAAGAAAATGGAAAAAAAAAAGACAAAAAAAGGAAAAAAAAAGCCAGTTTGAGGATGGGACAATCTGTTCTCCAGAGGCTCCTGACCCATTTGGGAGCTTTGGTGGTTATTTTCTTTGTATTGTGTTTGTTCTTTGTTCCCTGGGGGAATTTCTGGGCCCCCTTCTGTAGGACTGCTCCCCAGCTCCATCATCCTGCCCAGTTGGTTTTGAAGTTGTTCTCCCTTTAAAAAAAAACAACAAAATAACTAAATATATATATATATAAATATAAAAAATTTTAAAAAGCAATGAATAGGCTAGTTGCAAAACTATTCATAACAATAAAAAAGTAAGAAATAATGAAAATGTCCAACAAAAAGAGAACATTAAGGTCATTATATTGTATCTCCAAGTAATAATGAAACTATCTCATTAGGTGAAAAACACGTATGATAAACTAAAAAAATGAAAATTGTCTAGATACTATGATTACAGGCATGTAAGCCTTTTAAGTGAATATAAAAATTCACACTTTATGCATATAAAATACATAGTAGTAAAGTAGCAGTCAAGATAGAAAAATAATTTTTTCTTTGCCATTATTTACACATTTTGATAAAATTTAAAATGTGTTTAAACTGGGTGTGGTGATGCACGCCTGTAATCCCATGGGTCCATCCTGGGCCTATTGTTTTATTACTAATGTTGTTGGTGTCTAGAACAGCACCTGGTACACATTAGGCACTCAATATATGCTTTGTTGAATGAATATATATATATATATATATATGCTGAGAAGAGAGTTTTTAGGATACATAGTAATTCTGTCATGGGAATTGGGGATTTGGGAGGGATGGTGGCCAAGGAAAATTTTTTATTTGGTTTTGGATAATTTTACACTTTTACAGAGAACATGTTATTACTTGGATTTATTTCAAAAAATGAAAGCTAACCCAGCACAAAATGCCATAGGTGACCAAACCGAGGTTCAAAGTTAGTTTGAACTGAAACTATCCATAGCAAAATAAAAGAGGATAAAAGTAAAGTTCTACATTTATGAGGAGAAAAAAGTAATTTAAAATATTTAACCCCCATCTCAGTGTCAACCAAGAGTGGTGTCAGCTGGAGACAGTGATATCTAGCCACATTTTGACCATGTGATGGGTTCCATCTACACCCAGTCTTCTCTGATTCTATCACGTCTTCAGATTCTATGTTCATAAGTTCACAAAGGTGAATGATGTACTTGGCCTGCTCGGTAAGGAGCATTAAAAAAAAAAAAAAGGAATCAAGAAGTTGAGGTAGGCAGCAAAGACAAACAGGAAAAGCGAAGGCTTTGAGGCCGCTGTTTAGAGATCAGACATTTTCCCCTCAAAGGGAGGACAGGGTTCGCTCAGGTTTTCAGAGGCATCAAGAATAGAACTTTCTGAGCGGATTTGGAGGCGTTCAATGCAAAGGAACACCCCGCAGAGGGCTTTCTCATTGTTATGTTTGGAAGCAGCTTTATCACCCCAAGTCTGGCTATCATCAAAACAGCCTTCTCTTTTACCCAAGAGGTTTATGGTCATGCACTTGTCACTGCCCCCATGGGGAGATGTTCGGGACTGTGTAAAAAAGCTGGGGCAAGAACATGTGTGGAGCGGATTCTGACTTAGATGGGTATATATTGTGCCTTCTGCGGTGGAAGATGCTGGAACGGGTCGAACAGACTCCAACGACGTGGCCAGCTGGGAGCAACACGTACGCTATGCAGACACGGTATATGAGCTTCCTAAGTGAGACCGGCCCAGACCTCCCCCGTGAGCGCAACACAGCTGGGCTCCTCCAAGGCTGCGCCTGTTTCACAGCCCTGTCGTCCTGCCGTATCAGGCGCAGGACAGTACTCTTACCAAGTCTACTTGGAAACAGGGCACCGAAACTCCACTATCGGGTGGGACTAGAGCCACCAATCCCACAGCACCCAGCCGACCGCCCCACTTCCGCCGGAAGTCACCCTGGCCGCGGGCGCCGCGATGACGTCACCAGCCCACCGGAAGTTTCAGGGCTTGCCTGGGAGGCTGTAGATCGGTGCAGCAGGCGGTTGGCCCCACCCCTGGGGTAAGGAGGCCTTAGCGGGGTTTGGGGCCGTCCGTCTCCCATTCTGAACCTCCTCCCTAGTGCTTGCTACCTTCACCCTGCCCGGGGCTCTGGCGCTCCTGCCTGCTACACCCCTTTGCCTGTGACCGCTCCGAGTCGGGCAACCCTTGCCCGCACTCTGGGGCTCTGGAACCCAGAGGGTTCTCCGGGCTGCTACAGACCCGCTCCTGTCTCCGGGCCTGCTGCAAGCCAGGCTCTGTCTCCCCTTGGAGGCTGCTGCATCCCTACCTAGGGGCTCAGGACAGGTCCACTCATGGGGGTCGTAGAGAGTAGGCTCCGGGAGGCCCTCTGTCCGGTCTCCAGTGTGGGTGCCTCCCCGATACAGGTAGTAATAGTGATAGGGAGGGATATTCGGGGCGTGGTAGCGTATGCCTGTGATCCCAGCACGCTGAGGTCAGAGGATCACAAGTCCGAGCTCAACCTGGGTGATTTAGCGAGACCCTGTCTTAAAAAAAAAAAAGCTGGGGATGCAGTTCAGTGCAAAGGTCCTGGGTCCAATTCCCCGGACCTCCCATATACACACAAGGAGAAAAAAATAGAGGGATAAGAAGGGATAAACCCAAGACTAATGGCCTATTTCTTCCCAGTTAGCTGTTTCTTCAGAAGTCCTGTAACTCATTCACGCCTTGGGGTTCAGCATCCCTCACTTCCAAACCTTTACACAATGCATTCTGCCGCGGACTCCCAGTCTTTGTTGGGTGAGGGCTGAACTGATCTGTCTCTGCAATCACATCCAGCTTCCCGAGGAACCATGTCTCCCGCTGCTGTGGGTGCCGCCTGGAGTGCCATTCACACACCGCTGCCCAAGAGGCGTTGCTAGAGAGGAGCTGCTGACTTCTGTGTGAATACTGGGAATGCCAGAGTTGTGGCTGCAAAAGTATCCAATCAGGAGAAAGATGTAGGCTGGAGACCGAATTACCTGGTGAGAATTGCTGCCCTATGTTTCCTCTTTTATGTAATGAATAGTTTCTGGTTTGATTATCTTGATTGGAATTTCTGGCCCAGAATCATATCCACTAAGGCCAAAAGTAAATCACTCTGAGTTTATTAACACATGCTGATGTATGGTCTCTGGTTCCCATAAGTCCCTGGCAGTTGTAGGCAGTGACTTGGAGTGTGTCAAAGGACAAGGACATCTGATCCTGGGTGCTGAATTCCTGATTGCCTCTAGGAGATGTTTGTTCTGGTCGTGTTGTCAGCAGATTCTTTTGGGTACTTCCTACAGTAGCATGTATGTGAATATTTAGGGAAGTAAAAGGAGGATTTGTTGCTGGAGGGAAGGAAGATAGATACATTCTTCTTCACTTTATCTTAGAACTTAGAGGAAGGAGATGCCCCAAAGGCAGAAGACAGTGTTCATCTTGAAGGGGAGCACTCAGAAACAGATAAAAGGCCCACTAAAAGGCCATAGCACTCTGTGGTATGTACTTGAGGGCCAATGAATTCTGTTTTCGGACCCGTTTAGAGAGTCTGAGAATATATGCCATGGAATAGATCTTTCAGTAGTAGCTAGTTATATTCTTTCTGTTCCTTGGCAGCCTCAAGGATGGACTTCCTGGTTCTCTTTTTATTGTACCTGGCTTTTGGGCTGACCAGTGTTATTATGATCTGCATCTGCTCAAAAAGTCATCATTTGAGTAGCTTGTTCCAGGGTGGAACACAGGTAATAATGATCCTTGAATACCACTGAAGTTTGACTATTGCACTAGTGTAAAAGACTCACCAGTTTCCTGATGGGGCAAGAAGAGTCCATTTAAATTCATTGGTTCATTTAGTCTTTCATTTATGGCAGTTGTATGTTTTTGTTTTCATTACTGCCGAAGGTAACCTTGTGGCTGTTTAGCTCTGATGCGGTGCCCCTTACTGGGGATGGATGTGAGCAGTGTCTGCCTGAAGGTGCTTGATGGGTGAAACTGGGGATTGGATGAACAGAAAGCCAAACATGGGGCTGCTCATCCTCCTTCTGGGTTGAAAGGGAGCAGAACTGAGGACAAAACTAAGCAATAAAGTGGTTGACTTGGGATGGACCTGAGCCAATGCCAGTAATCTGGAGGTGGAACTTGAACTGGGATTGAACCCAGAAAGGGAAAGAGCAGCCTTCATATCAACATTCCCTTAGTTTCTGCTCACCTCTTTCTCTGAAGACCCTGACAAGTGCCACCTTTGGGGTCAGGGTAGAAGTGGAGGAGTTGGCATCAAAGGAAGCCATTCACTTTCTTCATTCTTTTGTATTGGCTTCTCTACCTTTATGCAGAAACAAAACTTAGTATCTCTGGTAGTGCTGGCTATGTTTGGAGCATCTGATTTGAGAGTGAGGAGAATGAGAGATGAAATTGAGCTTTTTTCTTTTCTTTTATTTCAGCTATGTTCCTGTATAATTCCACAGTGCTTTCAGAGAGCCATACAGAGATGCCTTCATTACTTCTTCCACACACGGTATATATAGTTCTATATAATTCGGAGTTTAAATATGATCCTCTTTCTGTCTTGATTACTTGTTGCTGCCCTAGCTTCAGGAAACCCTTGTGGTTTCCAGCATAGTAACAGTGCTGGGGAAGGATGCTAGAAGGATGGAGAGTTCTGTGTTCAGAACTTCTACTCACAAATAACCTGCCGTTTGTCTTTAGGGTCTTGATGTGTCTACTTTTAAATAAAGATATTTAAAGAGTGGGGAAAGATTGACATGTGTTTCTGCATATTACATGGCTATGTTTCACCTGGTTTCTTATTTAATTTTGAAAAGGAAATGGTTGCCCTTGTAACATTTGTTAGTTTTGTATGATTTCTTCACAGCGCATCCCTGCGAATAAAGCACAGGCCTCTTTCCTTTCAGCAACCACACCTTCATTGTCCTGCACCTGGTCTTGCAAGGGCTGGTTTATATTGAGTATACCTGGGAAATATTTGGCTACTGTCAAGAGCTGGAGTTCTCATTGTGTTACCTTCTTCTGCCCTATCTATGGCTGATTATAAACCTGGTTTTCTTCGCCCTAACTTGTGTAACCAATCCTGGTAAGTTGAGGCTCTTAGCATACAAATTGGGGACAGCTCAACTGTCTTACGGATAGTACAGGTACAGTAAAAACAGATAGTAGTCCCTTGAAAAAGATTGAAAGGTGGATGTGGTGGCCCATGCCTGTGATCCCAGCACTTGAGAAGTTGAGGCAGGAGGATCACCGTGAGTTCCAGGCCAGCCTGGGCTACATAGCAAGTTCAAGGCCAGTCTGAATGCATAGCAAAACCCTGTCTCAAAAAAGCCAAAAACAAAAAAAAGATAGCAAAACTATTGTGTTTTCTTTATTTTTTGTCTTTGACCAGTGGGTTATTTAGAACTGTTTAAAATTTTTCAATATGCTCTTTGTGTTTTAGTTTATCTTTCTGATGCCTGGGCTACATAATGAGTTCAAGGCCAGCCTGAAAGCCATGGTAATCACGGCTACTCAGGAGGCTGAGGCAAGAGACTGGGAGTTCAAGGCCAGCCTGGGAAATTGAGTGAAACTGTCTGAAAATTTTTAAAAAATGTTTAAAGGGAAGAGAGTGGGCTAGGGTCGTAGCTCAGTGGCTGAACACTTGCTTAGCATGGTTGAGGCCCTGGGTTCAATCCTCAGTGCTGGAAAAAAATTTTTTTTGAGACATGCATTGCACTTGGACATGTGTTCAGTTTTTTGTGTTTTTGCTTTTGTTAGCGGGGATCAAACTCGGGAACTTGTGCTTGTGAGGCTGGCAGTGGAACCAACTGAGCTAAATCCCCGGCCCTGTGGTCAATTTTTATAAATGATCCATGTGCTTGAAAAGAGTTTGTATTTTTTAATTCTTGAGTACAGAGAACCAAAAGTCCCTTATATCAAGTTTATTAATTATGTTCAAGTCTTTTAGATCCATACTATTTTTTTTTAATTTGTTAGCCAGTTAAACCAGTTACGGAGAGTGGTGGTTATCTCATTTTGATGATGGATTTCTCCATCATCAGACTTCTCCTTGTAGTTTGTCAATTTTTGCTTCCTATTTTTTTGTTTGTGTGTTTGTTTGTTTTAGTACCAGGGATTGAACTTGGGACCTTGTGCTTGCAAGGCAGGTGGCAGCACCACTGAGCTAAATCCCCAGCCCTGCTTTCTATATTTTGAAGCTACTGTGTGTATATGTGTATTCTTGTTAAATGCATTCAAGTTTAGGGTTAGTATTATCTTTTCCTGGTAAACGGAGTCTTTTCACAATATAGTAAGCCTCTATCACAACTAATGCTCTTTGCACCCACATCTCTTTTGTCTGATACTAATTTTATTATATTGTTTTTCTTTTGATTGGCATGTACTTGGGATGTTTTTCTATACTTTTACATTTAAACTTTTCTGTCCTTAAAATACCAACTATTCATCAACTGATGAATGGATAAATAAAATATGAGAAATCCATTTAGTGGACTATTACTCAGCCATAAAAAGATTAGAGTCTGTGGGTGTAGCTCAGTGTTAGAGCACTTGCCTAGCATATGGGAGGCCCTGGGTTCCACCCCTCGCATACAGAACAGAGTAAGACAAAATAAGAATGAAGTATAGATTCATGCTACAACTTGGATGAACCATGAAAACTTGCTGAGTTAAAAAAAAACAAAAACGGACACAGGGCTGAGGATTTAGCTCAGTGGCACCGTGCCTGCCTTGCAGTCACAAGTTCCTGAGTTCGATCGTTGGTACCAAAAAAAAGGAAAGAAACCAGACACAAAAAGCCATAAATTATGTGGTTCCATTGATGTGAAATGTCCAAAAAAGGCAGATGCATAGAGACACAAAGTAAATTAGTAGATTCCAGGGCCTGGGGTCATTAGAGAGAAACGAGAGTGGGTGCCAACAGGTTTCTTTTTGGAGCAACAATAGTGTTCTAAAATTGATTGTGATGAAGGCTGCACAACTGCATTGAATTGCATTTGTGGATTGTGTCTCACTAAAGCAGTTGTAAAAATGAACTGCTTAACATATTAAATATAGCAGTTTCAGTTGTGTTGTTTCGGAATGGATTTCATGAATATCCAGTCCACCATATTCCTTAAGCTGACATTTGTCCTTACTTTTTCAGGCACTATAACAAAAACAAATGAATTATTATTTCTTCAAGTTTATGAGTTTGATGACGTGATGTTTCCAAAGAACGTGAGGTGCTCTACGTGTGGTTTAAAGAAACCAGCTCGATCCAAGCACTGCAGTAAGTGTGGCTGTGCTGGCACCAGCAGCACCCTCCCTAGTGGTGATGTGGGCTTTGCTGGGCGGGAGTGTTTCATGAATCTCAGCGCAGACCCCTCTGATCCCCAGCCATGGGGTGACCACTTGGTAGAGGCCAGATGGTGGTTCTTTTTGCGGGACTGACAGGAAGGTCGTGTGTTCTGTCTAGAGGCCGACCCTGTGCCCTTCCTTTGCCACGCGGTAGGGTGTGTTCTGCAAAAGATGTGTCTGTGGACTGCTGGGTCTGCTCAGGCTCAGTTTTCTGGAGAATGCCCAAGATTCTACAGTAGCACTGTGTGACAAAAATACCACTTATGTGATTTAGAATTTTCTAGTAGCTACATTGCAAAAGAAACAGTTACTTAATTTTAATCATATGTTTTATTGAAACCAGCATGCTTAAAATATCTTTTATTCTCCCCTTGCAGTGCTGGGGATTGAACCTAGGGCCTCGTGCCTGCTAGGCAAGCACTCTGCCATTGAGCTACATCCCCAGCCCTTTTTATGTTTGAGACAGGGTCCCACTGAATGGCCCAGGCTGGGCCCATACTTGTCTCAGCACTCCTCCACCTCCGGAGCAGCTGGATTACAGCCATGGACCATCACACCTGGCCCTAAAGTATCATTTTTACATGTAATCAGTGTAAAGGTATTACAAGATAGTTCATGTTCTCTGTATCCCACTAAGTCTTTGAAGTCTGGCATACATTTTACACTTACAGTACATCTCAATTTGGATACTAAATTCTCATTGGAAATTCCTGATCTATATTTAGAGTACATAAAATTCACAGTTGGAAGAGAGTAGACTCTCATACCCAGGCTACATCCAGACATTCTTAAGTTTTCCAATAACTGAACCAAGTACCATGATGTTTTTTTTGATTATGCACATCTGCATTGACATAATGATACATCTTTATCAGAACGGACTTGACTTTAAAGCAAAACCATCAGTTTTTTAAAAATCTGTTTTGTTTTTCTGCTTTTTGGGGACGGAGTTTCACTATGTAGTTTAGGCTCTGGCCTTAAACTCACTATGTAGCCCGGGTTAGCCTCAAACTCACAGCAATCCTCTTGCCTCAGCCTCCCAAGTACTAGGATAAATAAGTTCACAACTCTTATGTCACCTCTGTATTACTCACATTAATTCAGAAGAGAATTACATAAATTGAAAAACTGTAAATTTGCGAATATCAACAGAGTACTCAGGGCCGGGGATTTAGCTCAGTGGTGCCGCCACCTGCCTTGAAAGCGCAAGGTCCTGAGTTCAATCCCCATTACCAAAAAAAACCACCCAGAATACGCTCAGATTTTTCTTGTAGCCATATGTCAATGTGCAATACCCAAACATGGCTGGTGGCTACTAGGCAACCAGTGGCTACTACTGTATTGGACAGTGCAGTTCTAAAAGCCTGGTGGCAGCACCGCCCTGCCACTTCTCCCCGCACTGTCAGTGTTCAATTTGTAAAAACTGTAGGTGTGCATGGTATCACTGTGTTGTCAAGGACAAACATAGTCCATGGCTCCCTCCTGTGCAGGTGTGTGTAACCACTGTGTGCACCGTTTTGACCATCACTGTGTGTGGGTAAACAATTGCATTGGGGCCTGGAACATCAGGTACTTCCTCATCTACCTCCTGACCTTGACTTCGTCAGCCACCACCATGGCCGTCCTGAGCACAGCGTTTCTGGTCCACCTGGTGGTGGTGTCAGATCTGTACCAGGAAATGTATATTGATGACTTTGGACACTTCCAGGCTGTGGACACAGTCTTTCTCATTCAGGTAATTATGCAGTGCGCGGTAGTTTTCTGAATTCAAGTTGGAAAAGTCATATTCTCCCAGTAAAAAGTGAAGCTGTTCCTGTTTTTTTAAATTGATATTAAATTTACATACTGTAAAATACAACCTTTAAATGTGTACAACTCAGTGGTTTTAGTAGGCACGCACCCCTCACCACTGTTTCATTACCCGAAAGAGAAACACTCCCTGTTCCCTCTTCCCCTAGGCCCTGGCACCATTAATCTTACTGTCTTTATGAATTTGCGTTTTCTGGACAATTCATAATAAATGGAACCATATAATGTCTGACTTTTTAGACTGGCTTCTTTCACGTAGAATAATGGCTTCAAATTTCATGGGCGTGGTGACGCATGCCTGTAATCTTAGCCCCGGGAGGCTGAGGCAGGAGGATTGCTGTGAGTTCAAAGCCAGCCTGAGTTATATAGTGAGTCCAAGGCCAGTCTGGAGTACATAGTGAGATCTTGTCTTAAAAAAGACTAAAAAAAAAAACCAAAAAAATCACATTTCAGTCATAATTGGAGCATGAATATATATTTCATTCTTTTTGGGGTTTTTTTTGAGCCAGTGCTAAGTTGCTAAGTTGCCCAGCCTGAGTTTCAACTTGCAATCCTCCTGCCTCACCTCTCAGTATTTGTATTACAGGGTTGTGCCTCCATGTCTGATTTCATGGCTTTACTTAGTCTGAAAGCCAGTATCTTCTTTGTTTTTTCCTTTTTAGTTTTTGTGGGGGGGGTTCGTTTTGTTTTGTTTTAGTTTCTTTTTGAGATGGGGGTCTCACCATGTAGCTCAGATTGGCTTCTAGCCTATGTTCCTCCTGCCTCAGCCTCCAGGGTGCTAGAATTACAGGTGTGTGCCACCTTAAGCCAGTACCTTTTTTTAAATTCTTACTTTGAAATAGATTTAAGGTATGTTGTAGAGAAGCATACAGGAAGTCCCATGCACTCCCAGCACCCCTCCTCCTGTTCCAGTGTCCTATACAACCACAGTACCAGACCAAACTGAAAAACATGTTGGCACAGCCCAGAGAGCTGAGTTCACTGGTCATATGTGCACACTTGCTCATGTATGCAGCTCTGTGCAGTCTTGTCCCAGGAGCAGCTTCATGGAACCACCAGGACCATCACGTTGCTCAAACATGCTGTCACTAGACTCCCTTCTGCCACCACTTTGTAGCCACACTTACCTCTTCTCCACTCCTAACACCTGGCCACAATTAGCCTGTTTCCCTTCTCTGTGATTATGTTATTTTACAAATGTTTCATAAATACTAGGCAGTACATAGCCTTTTATGATTGGCTTTTTGCACACAGCATAATTCCCTTGAAACCCATCCAAGTCATCTTGTGTATCAGTGGTTCATTCCTTTTTGTTGCTGTACAGGATTCCGTGCTTTGGATATACCAGTGAAACCATCTACCTTCTCAAGGATATTTGGGTAGTGTCCAGTTTGGGGCTATTAGCAAACAAGGTTGCCATGAACATTTGTTTACAAGTTCTTATGTGAAAATGAGTCTTTAGGGTCATTCTTGGGTTCATAAAAATCCATTTTAGGTTTCGAAAAGGACTCCCATACTATTTTCCAGAGTAGTTGAGTTATTTTACAATAGCTTCTTATTAATCCAGTATGACTAGCCCAGAGTTTATTTTATTGTTCCTTATGGGTGGATATTTAACTCCTTTCTTTGGGGAAAAAGGCTGTTAAAAGGCAATGCCACTGAATACCCTTGTGAGTGTATTTTTGTGGTTGGATTGTTTTAAGAGAGACATTGACTCCCACCCATTTTATTTTGATACATGAACTCAGATCCGTGTTAATCTATTTTGCAAATAGTTAACTGGCATAGTCCTGTTTCCTGAGTGGCCTCCCCTAGAGGAACACTTCACTTGTCCCACAGTAAGCTCTCACACATACCAAGAAAATCTTGGGGCTCTTTGTAAATTCTGACTTATATTCAATGTGTCAGATTTGGATGCAGGTGGGTGGCTAAGACAGTGACTGGTGTGTCTGTAGATAGGATCAGGGCTGGCACTCTCCACTTCCTAACGTGCATCTTCTTTGCTCCCAGTATCTGTTCCTGACCTTCCCAAGGATTGTCTTCCTGCTGGGCTTTGTCGTGGTGCTGAGCTTCCTCCTGGGGGGCTACTTGTGCTTTGCTGTGTACCTGGCTGCTACCAATCAGACCACGAATGAATGGTACAAAGGGGACTGGGCCCGGTTCCAACACTGCCCCCTGGTGGCCAGGCCCTCATTAGCCGAATCCCAAATCTACCAGAACATTTACTCCCACGGACTTTGGAGCAACCTCCAAGAGATCTTTCTACCTGCAAGCCCATGTTATGAGAGAAAGAAGAAATAAATGAAAAGAGTGTTACTGCTTATCAAATATAATATACATTTATTTATACATATGGATACTTATTTTCTAGGCATTGTTTGGTTTCTACTGTGTGTTTATAAATCAGCTGTTTTGGTTTCTGTTGTGTATAAACCTGCTTTCAGTGGGGAAGGAAGATAGGGAAAACCAGTGTTTACTGAGTGACTAATTTTTGCCAGCTGCCGTGGCAGATCTCCTACTTGTTTGTCCTCTGTTGGAATCCAGCACCACTGAGGTCCTACTGCATGGGGGGGGGGGGAGTTATCACTTGTCCAAGGTTCTAGGTACCTCTGGGACCTTGATCTCACTACTCTGGGCACCTGGACAAGAAGGGGTCTTACAGCTCTGTCCCCTGATGTGCAGCAGGATCTCAGTGACTCAACACCTTGGGGTTGTGCCTGGCTACACCCTTTTTATGCCTTTTCCTAGTCTGTCCCTGTCTCCCAGGGAGGCTTTCAGACCCGCTACCACATGCTCACTGAGGCCTGCCTTTGTGCCAGCCCAGTTACTCCAGGCACTTCCTGTACTTGTGTCACCTGCCTTACTCTCCACTGGCCTCTTCTGGCCATATTCAAATCTTTTCTGCCTTGTTAAAAAATGTCTGAAGTAAGCTACTAGCTTGTTCAGTGGAGAGATGAGTGCTAGAAAAGAAGCTTATATAAAGTGCTGATGGGCTTTAGGAGGGTAGGCGGGTTTTCAGGAGCAGGAAGCAGGTGGATTGGACCTTGAAGGCTACCAAGTTTCCTACAAGCCATCTCAGGCTAGGCGAAGGAACCAGCAGCCAGCAAGGCCAGGACTCTGGAAAGGACTGGGGAACAGAAACCCTGTGGACAGTGGGCGCGGAGGGGAGGCCTTTACGAGGCATCATTCTTCCAAAGAAACTTGGGGGTTCAGAACAGACGCAATTTTTCCCCCCTCGGTACAGGGGATCAAACTCAGGACCTTGCGCTTTCGAGGCAGGCCCAGCGCCACTGAGCTAACTCCCCAGCCCTAGACGCAATTTGAAAACCCTGCTTGGGTTGGTAGGGAACCGAAGTCCGCCTTCTCCCGGCCAACGCCCGGTCCTGGCTGGTGGAAAGAGCGGTGAAGGCAAAAGGCGGAGGCTTTGAACACTGCCCAGAGCAGGCCTGTGAGCCCGGGAAAGCCTCAGCCGGCGCTCGGTAGAGGGCTAGGAGGAGAGGGTCGCTTACTCGCTCGGATCCCGGGGCGGGGCCTACCTGCCCAGCGCGTCGTCGCCAGGGGGCGCCGTCCCGAGAGCGCGGGGCCGCCTCCTGCGCTTGGCCCCTGCGGGCCGCCGTCCTCGCTCTGGCGTTCTGCTGCCGTTCTGCTGCGCGGCGTCCGCTCCCGCAGCTCCGGTTGGCGCCGCAGTCGGACGCTGGGTGCCCGCTGACCCGCAGAAGCGGCGATGGCCCCCTGAGCGGGCCGGCAGCAGGTACCGGGCTGGCAGGTGGGCGCCGCGGCCCGGCCCAGGTCGGCACGGAAGCCGAACTGCGCCTCTTTGTCTCCGCGGGCGGCGGCGCGTCCCCAGCGCCCGGGCGGAAGTGGGGCGCGCGGGACACCTGGGCACCATGAGCGATATCCGCCACTCGCTGCTGCGCCGTGATGCGCTGAGCGCCGCCAAGGAGGTGCTGTACCACCTGGACATCTACTTCAGCAGCCAGCTTCAGAGCGGGCCGCTGCCCATCGTGGACAAGGGTCCTGTGGAGCTGCTGGAGGAGTTCGTGTTCCAGGTGCCCAAGGAGCGCAGCGCTCAGCCCAAGGTGCCTGTCCCGGCCGTGCCCTTCCCCTGGGTGACAGGCGCTCGCCCAGCCTCTCGGTTCTTCCCCTGGGGCTTGCTCTTGCAGCAGTCCCCCAATCCCCTGCCCTGCAGTCCTGAGGCATTGCCCAGCCGAGTGCCTTGTTTTGCAGGCGGTGACAGCTGCGACCCAGTGGTGTTCAAGGAATAGACTTTGGAGGCTGTCCACTTAGCGCATTAAAGCCCTGTTTTCTAGTGTCCTAAACCGTGTGGGGTATTCTGAGTTCTCCAGGATGATACCTAATGAGATATATGAGTTTTTTCCTGAGCTTAACGTCGTCATTCTACTCCCTGAGACCTGGGTTTCTGAAAAGCACCCTGGGGAACTTAGTGTATTCCCTGCCTTCTTACTGCGTGAACGAACAAGTCGCGAAAGCCACATTTCTCACAGCTCTTTCCTGGATTTGTTTTACAGAGACTGAATTCACTGCAGGAGCTTCAGCTTCTTGAAATCATGTGCAGTTATTTCCAGGAGCAAACCAAGGACTCTGTGAGACAGATTATTTTCTCATCGCTTTTCAGCCCTCAAGGGAACAAAGCTGATGACAGCAGGATGAGCTTGTTGGGAAAGCTGGTCTCCATGGCTGTGGCTGTGTGTCGAATCCCGGTGTTGGAGTGTGCAGCCTCCTGGCTCCAGGTACTGCTCTGGAAATAGCCTTCCTTCCCAGAGTCTCTGAAGATGAGTTTACTTCAGAAATTTTCATTTAATTGGATTATTGGAGAGGTGTTTTCCACCTGTACTTCAATATGTCCTTTATCATTGCTGCCCTGTGTACTGATACTGTATTCCAGTCCCATTTTTATGTACAGAGCATTATAATTCTTGAGGGCATTTTTTTTGTTTTGGTTTTGTTGTTGTTGTTGTTGTCGTTGTTGTTACTGGGAATTGAACCCAGGACCTTTACACTGAGCGACATCTCTAGCCTTTTTCTTCTTTTTTGAGAGAGAGGGTCTTGCTAAATCACTAAGTTGTCCAAGTTGGGCTCAAATTTGTGATCCTCCCGCCTCATCTTTCCAGAGTGCTGGGATTACAGATGTGTGCTACCATGCCCACAGAACAAAATGGCCTGTCTTCAGACCAAGTGAAAAATCTAGGGGAAAATAAGGTAGAATTTTGAAAACTGTACGTATGCAGTCTTAAAGGTGAGATTTTAAAAGTCATTATATATTAAATTATAGCAGAGCTTACCTGTTACTAGAAGCTTGTTCTCTATACAGTTAAGTCAGTAAGCATGTGAGTTATTTCATGTAGTTCCAAGGTGACATCATGCAGTTGATAACTTTTAATGGATATAGTGAAGGAAAAATATGTATTTACAGCAGATTTAGTGTTAGGTAGTGTTTTGGAAGACACATTTTGTTTTGTTTTTGTGCTACTCTACTTTTATTTTTTTAATAAATTTTATTTTATCCCACTACCCCCCTCCCAAGTGCTACTCTACTTTTAGAGCGGTTGTTGGCCAAACATTTGGGTGAATGTGTTCCTTAGCCAAACTACTGGAAGGTACTACATTCAGATGAATAAAGCTCCTTTATTCCCACGTACTTGAAATCTTTTTTTCCCCAATTTAATTAAATGTTTTTTTTTTTTAAATAATTTTGCTTATCCATAAAATTTGGCCAGCAAAAACATACTGTTAAGTGTAGTGCGCAGGTAAGTCACAGTGAAACATATACCTTAATTCTTCCCAATCCAGAGTTTGTGTTAGCAGCTGGTGAATGTGGCCTGAGCAGCTGATAGGCAGGCTTATACATGGGAAGAAAAAAAGGCAGGGGAAGGTGAGGATATAGGGTTCAAAAGCATTAGAGGAACCTGTCAAAGAGAATAGGGCTGTGAGAGGAATTTGGAAAGTGCCAAAAACATTTTCCTCAGAATCTCTTCAAAGTAGTAGCAGCTATTAATTTTTATCTGTTAGAGTCTCACCTGGAATCCTGTAGTTACAAAATTGTCATTTTCTCACCTGAAGTCAGAAATATCTTTCCTAAGTAAACTTCAAAGCCAAGATTGGCAGACTCTTTATGTAAACATTTTAGTCTTTGCAAGCCATGGAATCTCTGTTGAAGCTACTCAGATCTGCCCTCAAAGTGCAAGAGCAGCTTTAGACAGTAGGCAAGCAAGTGAGTGCACTGTGTATCCATGAAACTTTATTCCCAGAGGCAGGAGGTGGAGGGGATTTGGTCTGTGGGCTTTAGATTGCTGGCTCCTGCTTCAAAGGAAGCTGTTAACATCCTTCTCCACCCTGGGAAGTAGCTCTGCCAGTCCGAGTGGTCCTCACTGTTTGTCCATAGTTGCTACCTGCTAACTTCCGATGCCTGTAGTTACATGGCCTGTGGCTTCTTTCCAGAGGACGCCTGTGGTCTACTGTGTGCGGCTCGCCAGGGCCTTGGTGGACGACTACTGCTGTTTGGTGCCAGGCTCTGTTCAGACCCTGAAGCAGATATTCAGTGCCAGCCCTCGATTCTGCTGCCAGTTCATAACATCTGTCACTGCGCTCTATGACCTGACATCAGGTAAAAAAATGTGTTATAGCCATCGAAGAAGCATTAGCTGATGGCTGGTCTTATTTCCCAGTGAACGTTTTGGCTCTTTTTTCTTTATTTTGGGGCTAAAGGTAAATGTGTGGGCAGCTGGACCTGTGCAGTTTGCTAAGAGGGAAATTTTCTTAGTGTCCCCAGTTGCCTGAGTTGGAACAGTATAAGTGGCAAATGGTCCAAAAAGCCAGATTGGAGTCTGGTGAGATGTGGCCTTCTCCCCAGAAATCTGACTTGCTTTTTATCTCCCACTTTTTTTTTTTGGTACCAGGGATGGAACTTGGAGCCTTGTGCTTGGGAGGCAGGCGGCGGAACCACTGAGCTAAATCCCTGGCCCTCCCACTTTTTGTTTTGAAAAATCCAGAAAAGTTACAAGAATAGTACAATAAACACTCATCTAATTCTCACCTATATTGAACCTACATACACACTGAGCTACACCCCTAGCCCCCCCCGCCCCTTTTGGTACTGGTGATCGAACTTGGGACCTTGTGCTTTCGAGGCAGGCAGCAGAACCCCTGAGCTAAATCCCTGGCCCCTCTAGCCCTTTTTTTTTAAGCAGTATTTTATTTTAAGACAGGGTCTCACCATGTTATCAAGTTGCCTAGGCTGGGCTCAAGTTTGTGATCCTCCTGCCTGGGCCTCCCAGAGTGCTGAGATTATAGGCATGTTCCACCATGCTCACCTCTGGTGAGCAGCTTTGTGTAGAGTCTGGCTCAAAGCTTGATTTTTTTGTTTGTATTTCACGTTCCTCCCATTTTACCCTCTACTCTTGCTGCCCAGAGGACTGACAAATAATTTAATTCTTCTAGCAGTTTGAGAGCCTGCAATGACATTTCTGTTTCCATTTTCTGTTCAGCCCAGTATTGGTCTCTGCCAGCCCTCTGACTGTATTTCAGCATTCTTTTATTTGTAATCTTTTCTTGCTTTTACATATTTTAGCTCTCAAGAAAGTTTGTGCAGCAATAGTGTGGACATGCAAGCGCATACAATATCCCCACACTAGTCCCACACTCGTGTGGAGCAGTTTGCCACTGGAGTAGTAGTAGCTCTTGTGGAGCAGTGCCACCCTGCTAACGAGGAATCATCCCTGGTCTGTCCTGCAGGGCTTCCTGAGAACGCTTATTAGCTGGGTCCTGTGTTTAGGCCTGTGGTTTTCTTACAGGAAAGATTTAACTAAACCCAGTTCATACCATTATAGTTGCTTTTCAGGTCATCAATTGTTTCAGGCCAACAGGACAGAAGTTGGCATTGGCATTGGGAATGGATGCGTTAGCATGTGGAGCAGGAAGTAATGTTTGGGGTAACCGCTGACATGCAGAGTGTATCTGAAACATTGTGTTTTTCTTGTAAGCTGGTGTGTCAGTTGTCAGTGATTTCCCAGGCCACTGGCACATGGTGGTACCCTGGGAGGGACAGCCCTGAAACCACTGTCAGAAGAGTGAAGGATGAGCCCATGCCTTCATCACGAAAGGAAGACACTCATCTCATCCTGCAGTGCCCGAGTGGTACTGAGAGCTCTGGTCTCACTAAGTGAAGGAGTCACATACTCAGTGCGTGGGCTTAAGGGTGCGCCTGACTTCAGGCTTTTGGAGAGGCCTCTGCTCATACCTGGGGTGTACTCTGGAACTATGGGTTGAGCCTGATGTTACCTAGACAGAAACATCTGGGAGAATTAAGGGGCTGGATGCACAATTGCCAAGTGAGGGTTACAGACGAATGCTGCTACCTGTCGCTGCTGTCACCTCACATCAGCAAGGGCAGTGTTTAAGACCAGATGGTTAGTAGGAACGATCTTGAGGCAAGACCCGCTTCAGGAGAAAGAGCAGCTAGCCAGCTTTCTCCATCATGTGCCTGGCTTCCCACACTCTCCTCTTCCATGCTTGGCTTGGAGAGAGTACTGTCACCTTTAGCTTCCCTGCAAACTGTGGGGTGTACTGTCCCAGAAGTGACTGGAGACACAGCCAACCTGTAAGCATGGCATGCCAACCCCAGGATGGACAGTGTGGCCTGGTGGTCTAAGACCAGGGCTCCTTCAGGTCAGCTTTGAGCTCACCATGTACTTCTGATGTGTCTTAGGAAATTACCTAGCATCATTGTACCTGTTTCCTCATCCTCTGGGAATAATTGATGGAGCTATGTAAGGATTTCATGAGTTTAATTTAATGTGAAAAGGACTGAGACCAGAGTCCAACATAGGAAACTCAGCATCAGTGTCAACATTCATTCTCATTATTATTTTCTCTGTCTAGGCCTTGGAGCTTGCCAGGTCTCAGGAATCAAAGGAGATCAAGCTTTTGCTTAGACCAGGGTTCTGGCTTTGAGGCTGGGATGGTTGTTGGCGGCGGAAAGATGGCTGGCAGGAGATTTTTTCAAAGCATAATAGAGTTCTAAGGAATTATTAACCCAACAAGAACTTTTTTCAGCCTCTACTTTGGGCAGAGGGTCCTGGGCACCAGGGATGTCACACTGACTAATCCTTCATGGGGTGGATGTTCTAGCAAACAAGACAGAACATAGACAGGTGAGGCGGTAGTGACCTGAGTGCCCGGCAGGAAGGCTGTGAGCTTGGGGATCTGTCTTCCCCCGTCCACTTCTCCCTTCTCTCCTCAAGACCGAGAACACTTCTGACTGAATGGTCTTTGTTTGCAGATGATCTCATCCCACCTTTGGACTTGCTTGAAATGATTGTCAGCTGGATTTTTGAGGACCCACGGTTGATTCTCATCACTTTTTTAAATACTCCGATTGCAGCCAATCTCCCAATAGGATTTTTAGAGCTCACCCCGCTCATTGGATTGATCCGCTGGTGTGTGAAGGCCCCCCTGGCTTATAAAAGAAAGAAGAAGCCTTGTTTGTCGAATGGCCATGTCAGTAACAAAGTCACGAAGGACTCGGGTGTCGGGATGGAGAGAGACTCCCATGTCTTGTACTCAAAACTCCACCTCAGTGTCCTGCAGGTTCTCATGACGCTCCAGCTGCACTTGACTGAGAAGAATCTGTATGGGCGCCTGGGGCTGATCCTGTTTGACCACATGGTCCCGCTGGTAGAGGAGATCAACAGACTTTCGGATGAACTGAACCCCCTCAACGCTTCCCAGGAGATAGAGCTCTCACTGGACCGGCTGGCACAGGCTTTGCAGGTAGCCATGGCCTCAGGAGCCCTGCTGTGCACAAGAGGTAGGTACCTCCCCTGCCAGTGGTGGCAACATTGCTTAAGCAGAGGAAAAAAAAAGGGACTCCTAGACAGACATTGGCTTTGATTCTTTTAGGATTTCCTTTCCTCCTTTCCTCCTATAAATGCAGGGGAGGAGGGTGGAGGTCTCAGAATGTCCCCTAGTGGTGCTCCCTCACCCTGCTGTCCCCATCGTGCTCCTCATGTGCCATCAATGTGATGTCTGGACATCACCTGCCTTTTCTGGGCCAAGACGGGACTGGGCATGAGGAATCTTTCCTCCTGCATTCTCTTTTTCTTAAGGCATAATTCACCTACAGTGCAATGCACAGGGTAAGAATACAGTTAGATGTGTTTTGACAGATGTATACATTCATGGAACTGCCACCCAGTCAAGATGTGTTCCAATTGGCTGTTCTGAGGGTTCTGTCATTCTCCTGCATTTCAGTGCTTGAGTCTGTCTGGAAAGTGGTCTGGTGCCCGCGATCCACTCTTGTTTGCTTTTCCACCGTTGACTCAGTCACAAGGGTGGCCCCACTCGATGGCTGCTGGTGATGAGTGTCCAGTCTCGACTCCCGTGCTGGAGTGCTTTGACTGGCTGCTCAGCAGGAGCACTGTCCTCAGGTACTTTTCTGGCCACCTGACCAATTGTCAGTGAGGGTGACCCCTCTGCTCAATGGCTTCTTCTATTTTGGGCCTATTTTTTTTTCTATAATAAAGTTTAATTTATAAATTAGGTATAGTAAGAGATTAGCAACAATAACAATAAAATGGAACAGTTATAACAGTATGCTGTACTGTGCATTATGGTGCACACCTGTAATAGCAGCACTCGGGAGGCTGAGACAGGAAGATTGCTGTGAGTTCAAGGCCAGCCTGGACTACAAAGTGGGACCCTATCAGGAAAAAAAAAATTGTGTGTCTGCGTGTGTGTGTGTGTGTGTGTGTGTGTGTGTGTGTGTGTGTATGGCAAGTTACGTGAACACAAGCATTTTAGTACTGCCACAGTCAGTCACCCTAATGGACCCAGTGACTACTGGGTGCATAAGTATGCTGTGTGGATACACTGGAAAAATGTGGTGATTTGAGACTGATTGAGATTACATCAAAATGCCATGCAATTTTATATTTATGGATTATTTCTGTAATTTTTAATTTACTCTTTTCAGACTACAGAGAACTGAAACCACAAACTGAAACTGGATAAGAGGGGACTGTTCTATTTCTAGATAATTATTGACAACAAATGATATTATTTATGCATGTTCTGATTTTTTTTTTTTTTTGGTATGGGGGATCGAACTCAGGACCTTGCACTTGTGAGGCAGGCGTGGTGCCACTGAGCTAAATCCTGGGCCCTTAGTGTTGGTGCCAGGGATGGAACTCAGGACCTTGTGCTTGAGGTGCAGGTGCAGTGCCACTGAGCTAAATCTCTGGCCCAGTGTTGTTATTTTTGAGTAGCGCTTGAAGCGCTTGTTGTGAAGTCTTATTGTCTTCACCTTTTTTTGGTAGTACAAGGGTAGTACAGGGCCTTTGCACTGAGCCACATCCCCAGCCCTTTTTTATGGTTTTTTTAAATTTTGAGACAGGGTCTCACTAAACCACTAAGCCCAGGGTGGGCTCAAGCCCCCTGGCCTCCTGCCACAGCCTCCGAGTGCTGGGACCACAGGTTACACCACCACATCTGGCTAGTCTTCACTTTTTCTCCTGTTCTTTTTGTGTTGTTTTGTGTATGTGTATGTGTTTTATTTTTTGGTACATTTTAGATAGATGTAATGATAACAGGGAATTTGTACCTGTACATTATATATTTTGCTTCCCATTCCCCTCCCTTTCCTTCCACCCCCTCTTATTTATAAAAGGTTTGTTTCCATTTTTTCCTTCTAGTCTCTCTTTTTTTTCTTTCAGACCTATTTTTTTGTTATGTTTTGTTTTGTTTTATGTATTCATTAAGTACATTGTAGGTCTACATTATGATCACATTTGTCATTGGGAATTTGTACCTGTACATAATCTATCTTGGTTCTTATTTTTTCCCATTCCCCTCCACCCCTCTGTATTTACAAAAGCTTTGTTTCTGTTTTTCCTTCTTTTCTCATTTTTTTCTTTCTCTTCTTTCCTCCCCCCCAGATCCCCTTCCCCTTTGAACATTTTCTTCCTATTTGACAAGGTCTGTTGTACACTTTGGTCCTCATGTACACTTTCAGTTTCTCACACCAGAGAAGCAATTTGGTGTTTGACATGTGTGTCCTGTTTATTTCACTTAAGAGTCAAGGTGCATCCATTTAGCTAGAAATGTCTCTAATTTATGTTTCTTTGTGGCTGAGTAGTACTCCATTTTATAAAAAACCACCTTTATCCATTCACCAGTTGATGGGCATTTGGGCCTTTTCGAAGATTTAGCTATTAGAAACTGTGCTGCTATAAACATGGGTGTACGCGTATTGCTGTGCTATGATTTAGTTTTTTGAGGAATCTCCACACTGATTTCCACAGTGGTTACACCAGTCTATACTCCCACCAACAATGGAGAAGGGTTCCTTTTTCCTCACAGCCTTGCCAGTATTTGTTATTGGCAATGAGGTGGAACAATCCAAAAGTCAACCACCTGGACTCCTTGAAGTGATAACAATGAAAGTAACAAAACAGATGAAAGAAGCTCTGGAAAAATCAAATAAATTATTTCTCAGATAACTACAGAGATGGTGACCTAAGGAAAGACATGCTTAGTAACTCTAGAGCAGATACAGATAAAAAAAATAGAGGAGCTGAAGAAAATGATGAAAACCCAGCATAGGAAAGAAATGGAATACATGAAATACATTCAAGCAGATATCCAAGAAATTAAAAATTCCATCGAAGGTTTTCACAGCAGAATAAGTGAATATGAGGACAGAATTTTGGATACAAAGGACAGGATTGTGGTTAGTGAACACAAAAAGATTTCTTAAAAATAGCAAGGGACCATTAGGAATCAACCCAACAGCTACTAGATGATGCAAAAAAGAATAACTTAAGATTGATTGAAGTCAAGGAAGGAGTAAGAGTGCAAAAGACTATAAATAAACTTCACAGAAGTAATTCCATAAAACTTCCTAAACAGGGAAAAAGAGTTTGACACACAGATGAGTGAAGCATATGGAACTCCAATTAGCTGTGATAAAAAAAACCGTACACCTGGGCTGGGGATTTAGCTCAGTGGTTTCGCTGCTTGCTGCGCAAGCGCAAGGACCTGAGTTTGATCCCCGGTACCAAAAAAAACCAAACAAACAACCCTACACCTAAGCATGTAATAGTCAAGATTCCAACACAAGAACAAAATATTGAAAGCTGTTAAAGAAACAAATCACATACAAAGGAAAGCCCATTAGAATCACAGCAGACTTCTCAACACAAACCCTCAAGACAAGGAGAGCCTGGAGTGAAGTATTTCAAGCCCTAAAAGAACACAACCTCCAACCCAGATTGATGTATCCTGCAAAACTATCTTTCAAAATTGATGGAGAAATAAGATACTTTCACAACAAAGAACACCTGAGGAGCTTCATGAATACCAAACCAGCACTCCAAAATGTTCCCCTGGATCTGTTTTTAAAGCAAAAACTGCAAGAAAGGGGAACCCGGTTTCTAAAAGCATTTCTGGAAATACGTAACATCAGGCACTGTTGCTGACTTGCTAGCATCCTGGAAAAGAACCACCTCAGCAAACAGTTCTCTTTGTCTCCAGTCTGGTCCTAATCACATGTCTCCTTAATTGCAGATGACCTGAGAACCCTGTGCTCCAGGCTGCCTCATAACAAGTAGGTACCTTCTTTGCTGGGACGGGGTGTCGGGAGGCAAAACACAGCAGACCCCTTTGATCCTGGGTTCCTTAGGGTGAGTTGGGCTGCAGGGTTCAGAGGTTCTCTTTGTAAGGACCTGATGGTAAGTGGGGAGCAGAAACGACAGCTTCACCCACATAAGAAGAACCCTAAGTAGAGCATCAACGTGGGCCAAGAGTCATGGGAAAACCAGAGCCTACCCCAAGCTCACTCAGCCCGGATCTGTTTGATGGGAGGGCAGTATGCTGGCACTGAGGTGACACTGAGTTACACTCTTGGGGAAAGACTGCAGAGCCACCAGCCCAGAGCACAGGGTGTCAGTTACATGGAGGCTTGGGCTCCTGGCAGGAGGGACTTGGTTTCTGAGTGATGCTGTGTGGTTTGCGGTGACCTTAGGTGATCTCTTCAGCTGTCTCTGAGCCTCAGTTTCCCCCTTGCAAAAAGGGGGACGGATACTGTTGCTCGCTCCCAAGTGGTGGTGAAGATGAAAGAGGTGGTGTTTGTAAACTTGGCATCATCATCCCTGCCACGTGGAATCTCCTCCATAGCCTCAGTTGTGCTCTGGAAAGCAGGGATAGGGTCGCACACTGCTTCTTCCTGTCCTTGTAACCTTGGGCAGGTTCCCTGTCTCCTGTCACCTGTTTTCTCATCTGAAAAAATCATAGTCACTGCCTCAGGTTCCCCTTGCCTTGCCCCACTGTAGGGCTTTCTGGGGACTGACCGAGTGAGAACTTGGAAAGCACTTGGAACAGCACTTGGGTGTGGTATCTAGCAAGTGTTAGCTGCTGTCACTGTTGCTGCTCCTGTAATAACAAGATTTTCACTTCTGTGAATCTATTCTTGGCAAAGAAGCCAGAAAGTATGTGCACAAAAATGTCTCATACAAGTACAGTTTTGTAAGTGGTAGGCACCTGGAAGCAGCCTAACCAGGGCATAGGGAGACTTGGTGAATTAGCCACCGTGATTCCTGCAAGGGTCGAACATTATGTATCCGCTGAAAAGTCATTGAGGCAGCTGTGCAAGGACGTTTATAGTTGAAGGCAGAACTGGGCCAGGGTTTATAGAATTGAAAACAACTGAGTTAAATTGCTCGGATTTTTAATGTTCTTTCCCATCTCAGGTTGGTCCTTAACAAGGAGGCACAGGGCTTGAGGACTGGCTTTTGAAAGATAGTGTGAGGGCCAGGAATTTAGCTCAGTGGTTCCACCTCCTTCCTCATAAGCGAAAGGTCCTGAGTTTGATCCCCGGTACCAAAAAAAAAAAATAGTGTGGAGCAGGGAGTAGGGCAGTGTGGCTGGACTGTGGATGTCATCGTCCCCAGGGCCTGGTCCCCTTCTGTCAAGCCAGTGAATCTGAGCAGGAGCTGATGGAGACAGAAGTGTGCAAAACTGGAGCCCGGGGCTGGGCTAGATGTGGAGGAAGGGCGGGCTTATTCCATGTTCAGGGACCCTGTCATCCAGCCTGTATGATTTAGACTCTGTCTCAAAAATTTAAAAGGGCTACAATAATAATAATAATAATAATAATAATAATAATAATAATAAAGGGCTGAGATTATATCTTGCTGTGAAACCTGTGGGTTCAATCCCCAGGACTACCAAAAAAAAGGAGGGGAAGGTCCAGGCAGCTGGGCAGGATGGTTGCAGATGGTAGGGTCGGTCTGATAGTGGGGCAGGTGGTTGTTGAGGGAGACCCGGGGCCAGGCATGGTGGGGAAGCTACAGTCCTGGTGTAGGGGAGCTTGGGAGCCAGATGGGCTCCAGCTGTGCAGGTTGCGGGGAGTGGGCCCCATAGTCAGGGCTGGGGTGAAGGTGTAAACTGTCCAGGGAGTGCTGTGCTGGACCCTTAATTTCAGGTTTATTTGAAAGGCTGGCTTTAAAGGCGCTGATGATGCTTGAATTTACTTGAGACGCAGTTATGAAGAATGACTTTGAGGGCCGGGATGTGGCTCAGTGGCGCTGTGCCTGCCTGGCAAGTGCAAGGTCCTGAGTTCGATCCCCAGGACCAAGGAGAGAATGACTCAGAGCTGGGCGTGGTGCTGTGATTCTGTAACCCCAGCGCTCAAGAGGCTGACGAGCTCCCATGTGGCCCACGACCTGCAGGTAGACCCCCCTCCATAAGCCATTGCTGGGTTCCTGGCGTTCCCCTGCCGGTTCCTCCTCTGGCTAAATGTTGCCACCCAGGGTCACCTGCTGCTCCGTTCCCCACCCCACCCCCTCCTTCCTCTTGTGCTCAGTGTCCAGCTACCTGGAAGCCCATGTGACGAGGCATCTCCGTGTCCTGCTGACAGATGAGAGGGACAGAGCAACCCCAAGGCGCGTGTGCTGCAGGGTGAGGTTGGCCTCGGTGACCCTAATGCTTCTCCTTGTTTCTGCAGCCTGCTCCAGCTCGTGGTCTCGGGCCCAGTGCAGCAGTCGCCACACACAGCACTCCCCCCAGGATTCTACCCTCACATCCACACGCCCCCGCTGGGCTATGGGGCCGTGCCAGCCCACCCCGCTGCCCACCCTGCCCTGCCCACGCACCCGGGGCACACCTTCATCCCCGGTGTGGCCTTCCCGTTCAGGCCGATCCGCTAGGCCAGCCTCTAGTGAGCCGCCTCGAGGCCATGTGCCCTCTGCAGTGGGTGGAGGGAGCCTTCTGGAGAGAAGGGTGCTGGCCCCAGAAGAGGACCCTAGGGAGGCAGCAGGCGGCCCCTCCTGGCTGGCAGAATCGTCTTCGTTTGAAGTACCTGCCTGGTCACAGTCTTAAAAATCCAGATTGGATGGATGGAAGGAAAGCACACAGCCCTCTGCAGAGTGCGCTGTAAGTGTTTTTAACACGCTGGTTCTGCGGGCCCTGGCTCACTTGGCGTCATTCAGATGAACCCTTGGAGCCTGTGCCCGGAGGAGCACTGAGGAGAAGCCTGAGCTGTGTGTCCGTCTGCCGGGCCTCTCCCCTGTGAATGTGACACAGCCCTGCCCCGGACACGGGCTCCTTCTGCAGCTGCGTGAGTGCAGAGTGTGAGTGCTGCAGCCCAGGCCTGGGCAGCGCTGGGCACCGCTCGGGGATGCCTGTCAGGGTTTCCCGTCACCTTGCAAAGGAACTTCTGTTTTATTGGGCGTCTCTAAATTTTCCTTTCATATGTTCCAATAAATTTTTCTAAACAGTTTTATAGACTTTATGGGAAAAAAATATTTTTTTTTCAGGAGGGGGAGTTGAACCTTACACCAAGCAAGTGCTGTGCCGCTGAGCCACAGCCCAGCCCTGCAGGATGTATTTTAACAATGAAATAAATGTGAACTTCGGGGTTTCCTTCCCCGTCCACAAGGATCACGTTAAGAAGGTTGAATGTAAGTTTTTAAGCTACTTCTGACAGAAGCACTGCAGTGTCCCCACCCTGGCCCCCACTCAGCCTCTGGGCCCTGCTGGCTTCTGGTCCATGTGCTTTCTGTATACAAAATACAGCCCTTGGGATTTTTTTTTTCTTTGAGACAGAGTTGCTATATAGTTCTGGCTGCTCTTGAATTTAGCCCAGCCTGGCTTGAACTCACAGGGACTCCTTCCTCTGCTTCCCAAGTGCTGGGATTACAGGCAGCACACCACACCTGGCTTCAGGTATTTTTTTTTCCTAGTTTGCTGTTGGAAGCTGTCTGCTTTGGGTCTCATTAATTTGAGGAGGAAGGAAAGCTCATTGACCATGTCACTATGGCTTCCCTAGCCGAAAGTGAGAAGTGGCAGATGGTAACAGAAAACAGTGGAGCATGAGACGGTTAAGATTACCTTGTAGGGAAGAAATATAACCTTGTCATTTATTTACCCTTCTATTGCTGGTTAAAGGCCATGGCCTGGAGCACCAGACCAAACCCAGTAGCCTAGCAGAGTCCCGGGAGAGCGTGCGCGCGCACACACGTGTGTGTGTGTGTGTGTGTGTGTGTGTGTGTGTGTGTTTAAATCTGGAGTTTAAGGCATCCCTGAGGTTGAGAGGGGGAGCTGAAGCCTTGTATGTAAGGCCGTCTGCTTGGCAGGGATCGTGTGTTCTTGCTCAGGGACAGGAGCCTTCCTAGTCTCTGGAGTGGCAGCCACAGTCAGGGCAAAGGAACCAGCCTGCAAGGTGAAGCTCTTCAGGAATCTGTTTTTAAATTGCATTAAAGGGCCATGGACATAAAGGACATTTTGAGTTTGATTTGATTATCTCTGATTAGACCTGCTTAAGTATAAACCTGCTAATGTCAGACACTGAACTGCAGGAGATTGTGTGTGTCTGTTTCGGTGGCACACATTGAAGAGGCTGAAAAGATCACCACCGGCCCGTTCTCTGTACTTCACTCCTGTATGAAGTGTTTCAGAAAAGAACTGCAAATCAACTCAATGTTACTTTCTTTTTCCTGCGGATCTCTGAGCAGTGTAGCCTCCACCAAATGTTTCTAGGGGCTGGATGTATCTTAATTCCTCTCAGATCTGGGATGGTTCTTGTCAAAATGAAAAATGGAAAGAAAGCCACTAGCCAGGCGAGGTGGCGCCCACCTGTGATCTCAGGGCTGGGACAGTGAGGCGGGAGGGTCACGAGTTCAAAGCCAGCCTGGGTTATATAGCAAGATTTTGCCTCAAAAAACCAAAAATAAAACAAAATACTGGAACCACAGACTTCCTTTGGTGGTATTCTTACCAGTCATTAAATCAACCTACTGAAAATGGAGGTAAAGGCTGACTTTCACATATTCACCATCTTGTCCTCCTTATTAATGAAAATGCTACTTCCTATCTAGTAATTATTACATGCTAGGCACTTAAGGATTTTACCTAACATTAAAAATGAATGAAAAAATATTTGCAATACATAAAATAGTGTAGAACATATGAATAACTACACATTAATCAAAAGGCATTCCAAAAAAAAGATGAAAGAAATGAACAAAATTAATAGGAAGAATAAAAATGGCCAATAAATATGGACAGACTGTGGCAACCAGCGGAGTGTAGGTTTTGGTCAGCTATTTTTCACTCACCCATCAGACTGGCAAAACAAACTAGCTACAGGTATAGAGGAGCAGTGTCACACAGTGGTACAGTAAACGGGTTTAGCCACTCTGGAAAAAATAAAATGGCTTGTGACCCAGCAATTTCAAAAACAAAAAGATATTCAGTGATATTTGCCACAGTGTTTGTTTTTTAAGTAACAATTTTAGTGAGCTTTAATTTACATACCTAGTTGACTGATGACAGGTACAGGTATTCTGGAAGGCTGAGGCAGGAGTTTCACAAGCCCAGCCTGGGCAAGTTAGCAACACTGTGGTACCCTGTCTCAAAAACTTCTTAAAAAGGATGTAGCTCAGTGCAAAGGCCCTGGGTTCAACCCTCAGTACTGCAAAAATAATAAAATGTAAAATTCGGTGGGTTTTAGTGTATTTATGCAGTGGTGTAATCATCACCGCAATATTAGAACATCATCTCCAAAAGAAACCCTGCCTATAAGGAGTCACTACCTCGATTCCTAAGGCTTGGGAAACTATTTGTCTACTTTCAGTCTATGGGTTCATCTTTGTTGGGAATTTCATACAAATAGAATCACACAATACATGTGATTGGCATATTTCAAGTCAGCACGGGTCAGCACTTACTTGTTAGGGCTGAACAATCCATTACTTACTGATACCACATTTTATTTATTCATTCATCAGTTAATGGACGTTTGGGATGTTTCCACCTTTTGGCTTTTTTTGAATATTGTTCATGTACAAGTTTTTGTGTGGAGGTGTTTCCAATTTCCTTGGGAAAAAATATACAAAATTGCTGTGTATTTTTTTTTTTAAATAAGGAAAATCCAAAAATGGCTTAAGTAGCCATTCCCAGGGGCCTGGCCAGCTAGTTGTAAACTCACCGGTCCTTAGGGATCAGGCTGGTGATGTCTGTGGGTGATGCTGCCAGGATTAGACTCCAAGAAGGACTGAGTGCTCAGCTAAACAGGACAAATTGCTGATCTGTGCCATCCACAGGCACCTGGGTCAGGGTGAATGTTGCCAAGTTTTCAAGAGGGGGTGGAAATCAGATTTTTTAATTCTGTATTTTCTTAAAACAACAACAAAAACAAAAATACCTTTGGAACTGTGGTGTTCAAAATCAAGATAGTCAAGCCAGGCATGGTGGCACACTGCCTGTGATCCCAGCACTCTGCAGGCTGAGGCAGGGGAATAGTTCAAGGCCAGCCTGGGCCACATAGTGATCAAGGCCAGCCTGAAAGACTCAAAAAAAACCAGACAAAGAAGTCAAAATGGTGATGGAGAGTGACTCGTAACGTGGATGGCATGCCAAGATTGATTGCTGTGTAAAAAAGAAAAAACAGGGACTGTTGGTCCTGTTTCCTCAACTACAGATTTGTCTTTCCTCTGTCTTCCCTTTCTTCATTCTTTCCTCCCTCCCTCTCTTCCTCCTTTTTATTTTTTATTTTTGGGGTTTTTTTGAGATAAGCTCTTGTTATGTAGTTCAGTCTGGCCTCAAACTTGATGTGAGCCTCCTGCCTCAGCCTCCCAAGTGCTGGGGTTATAGGCATCTGCCACCACGCCTGGCTAAATTTATTTTATTGACTTTGCAGTGCTAGAGATTGACCCAGGGCCTTACCATTGCTAGGCAACTGCACTACACTGAACTATATCCCAGCATTTCCTTCTTTTTAGACACTCTCTCACCAGGTAGCTTAGCCTGGCCTCTAACTTGCTATCCTTCTGCTTCAGCCTCCAACAGTGCTGCACTACCACGCCCAGACATGGTGCACTACAGACATGCACTACCACGCCCAGCTGGAAAAGAGGTTTTCTCTCAGGACTTTAGATCCTGTGCCACCACTGCCATGATAGTATGATTACCTGACGGACCCTGGCACTGAGCAGGACTAACAGAAGAAGGAAAATACAGAGATCTTTCCCCCACTTGCCTGCTTTGGGGGCCACTTGTCCCAGCCTTGTCTGTGAAGACTGGGTCTCTTGGAGTTTTGCAGTCTTTGCCTGCTATATGTTCCCAGCTTCAGGCTACCAAGGCTGTGGCCAGTAAGAAGCAGGAAAGACCCAACAGCCCCAGAGCCACTGCCACCTGGCTTCTCTTTATGCTTTGTCTTTTCTTCCCACCCCGCCTTAGTCTTCAGACATTTGTTCTGTGTTTTTCAAATTTTTCGGTTGTGGTCACCAGAAGAGGCGATGAGTCCCCTCTAACTACTCAGAGATGTTCCCCACAGGCGTCATTTGCTCTTTCCTTGGGCATGGGTCCCTCACACACCCGCTCTGGGATATTTCTGTTGACATAATGTCATAAAACTGAGGTTGAATCAATTTCATTTCTGAGGCCGCAATGATAAACTCACAGTAGCCTGGTTTCTGCAGGTCAGGCCCTTCTTGAGTGTCAGATACCTTGGCACCTCGATGGCATGTGTGTTGACTCCTCGACTTCCAGTGGCTGATTAGATGCTGAGTTCTTTTCCTGGTGGCCTTGGCTCATGGCCTGGATGGGGAGCCCCAGGCTAGGTTGAAAAGGGAAGGGGCTTGGTGTGAATGCTAAGATGGACTGCCCAGGCCCATATCTCCCTGAGGGTCAGGATTTGTTCTGAGCTGCAGAGAGGCTGAGGCAGGTAGTGCTCAGCTCTTTGCCCTCTTCCAGATTCCCTCAGCTAAGAGTGACACCTTGCCAAGGTTATGCCAGGGTGGTCTGTGTCTAATAATGGATACAGGTGTGTGAAGTTGCTGCCAGTTGTCCCAGCTTCTGACAACTCTGAAGAGCCATACTGGATGCTGAGGTCCCCGTGTCCTGGGTGTCTATGTGTGTGACCGAAACTGCATCCCTGTCTAAAGCCTTCCTCTCCCCAGTGCTCCTTCCTTCTCCTTCCCCTTCTGGTTTGCAGAACCCTCCATCATGAAACTCCTGTGTGCTAACTTCCATCCTAGAATCAGCTGCCTAGTATTGCTGGGGAAAAGGACCAACACAGCAACTTAAAGAGGAGAGGTTCAGTGGGGCATGGTGGCGCTCACCTGTAATCCCAACACTCTGGGAGGCTGAGGCAGAGGGATCAAAAGTTTGAGCCAACCTGTCACACACACACACACACAAAATAGAGACAGATACAGAGACGCACATGGGGGGGGGTGCGTAATTTGGCTCATTGTTACACAGGTTTCAGTTCATGCTTAGCTGGCTCCAAGCAGAAACATCACGACAGAAGGGGGTGGGGGAGCACAGCAGCTCAGTGCACAGTAGCTAAGAGGCAGAGCGTAGGGGAAGAGCACCTCCACAGACACACCCCAGTGACTCACCACCAGCTAAGCCCCACTTTCTAACAGCACATTCAACTGTGACATCAGTGGATTAATCCTCTGATGAGTGCACCACCCCCTAAGCCTCTTAATCTAGCCAAGTTGACTGACACACCAGGGGACCAAGCCTGACAGCCCCAGGCATGTCCCTCAAACCAGGTAAATGGGAAGGGCTGGTCCCATGGCAGAGATGAGGCCACATCAGCCAGTGTAGCAGCCTGGGTCAAGCTTCATTTTCTCCAACTGAAAAGGTTTGAGTTACACACATCAAGTATTTCTCTCTGGGCTGCTCTCCGGTTTTGTTGACCACAGAAACCATTCCTTGAGAACTGGTTTCCAGCCCAACAATACATATGGTGCTCCCACCTTGCTGCTGGAGGTTCAGAGCTGCTTCCTGACCTCAGTTGGCTGAACATCCTTCCATCCCACCTCAAACTAAGAAGTCGACTTGAATGGGCTGCTCACAAACACACCTGGCCAAGAACCAGCTCAGTGATCCTGGTGCTTCTGTCACTAACCCATTTCCCAAATCAGGCAGGGGGATGTCCACTGAGCCTTTATGGGAGAGAGAGTTGAGGAGGGAATGGGGGACAGATGTCGAGATCCGTCCAGCCCGGCATTCCTGCCCCAAGTCTCTGGATTTCTCCTCAATCCTGGGCCAAGACCAGTGCTCCTAGGAACAGGCTCATGTGTCATTCAGGTTGGCATTGGCTCCCCCTAGGCTGCTGGCACCATGCCCTCTGCACAAGTTGGTACAAAAACACAGACATAGCACATAGTCCTTGTGTTCAGCTTGACCCACATCACATTCTGCTCTCTGGACTGAGTTCACTACACTTCTTCAACAAGTCTCAGACTTTTGGAGTATAAGTTGATATGTCCTGACCACTTTCTTCCTGGATGTTCCTCTCCTCCCTCCTCAGGTTCTGAGTTTGGTCCTTGGGGATGTACTGAATACAGGTTCTGATTGTTCAGGGACATCTGTGTAGGCAGCCAAGGAGCAGTCAGCCCTCCCCTGCAGGGGCATGGCATTCTGGGGGTAGAGAGGTGTTTCTTTTCTTCTTTTTTTTTTTGTTAAGGTTTCAAAACATTTATTGTTGACTCAGTGTGATCACAGGACAAGATTCCTGATTAAGCACATTCAACTGTCCAGCCAATCGTATTTAAGCTTGATATGGTAATGTAATCTCGACCATGATAAAGAATGTATCATTTTGTGACTCAGGGGAGAGAAATATGCTGCATCTCATGTTCAATTCTTTACAGTCCCAGCTTGGTCCTCCTCCAGTGTCTCCTCTTGGAGTTGTACCTGATTTTATTACCAGTCTTCATCCGAATCCATTGAGGA